AAATTGAGTCAGAGAGTACAAATAAAACTTATCAGATCTAAGAAGAACATTGAAAAGTGACAAGAGGAAAAGCAAAGATCCAAAAGGAAGAGTCAGAAACTGCTAAAGCAAAAAGAAACAAAAATGCGAAAATAGGACTTGAAGGATCCAAAAGGACACTCAGAAGCAGAGAAACAAATTTTGAAGTGTAGTATCTTTGACATAATAAAATATTCCTTATGTTCCCATGGTTATTATAAAACAATTGTCAAACCAATGATGTATATTCTTAAATCACATAACAGGCATTAAGGGAGATGGATGAATACTTTTTCAAAGAAGAGTGTCATAAATGAGTAGAAAGAGGCCCAGGCAGTTGAAAACATGGCCACCAATAGTGGATGGATTAAAATTGAGTTTGCGAAAGAGGACAGAGTGGGAGGAGTGCAGGCACCTCTAAAAATTGAAGGGTCTAGGAAGATTACAGAGATGGGCAGGGGTGATTCAGTGGAAAAGTTTGAAAGTAAGGAGAAACATTTACACTTCTTTAACCAGTTTCCATTGAAGACTACAGGCATGAATGACGAAGTGGTCTTCATGCCAAATAGGGCACGGGCAGCGGAATCGTGAATGATATCAATTTATGGATTGTAGAACCTTGGAGCCTGGAAGATAAGATGTAAGAATACTCAAGATTTTGATAACAAATACGTAGATGAGGGTTTCAGCAACTGATGAGTCAAGGCCTCAGGAAGTTGGACAATGTTACATAGGCAGATGTTGTGATAGCATTGGTATATGCTTGGAAGCCACCTCCGAACCAAATATGACATCAATACAGTGATCACTCAGTTCCAGAATTGGCTATTTGACAGTGTGAGGTATAGAGTTGATTGGTAGGGGATGGAGTTTGTGGGCTGTTGACGATTTTGGTGATTTACCCTGTACAAATGTTTATTTGGAGGATTTTTTCTTTCCTCATCAAAACTGGATGCCAGACAAGGAGTCTAATTAATTTGAGACAATGGAGGATTTTCCCACCCACAGAGAATGATTCCAAAGTTTAACCCTTCAGAGATTTTATGAATACAGATATTCCAGATTAGTTTAATTCAGGAGACTTGCAAATACTGAGTTTAACTCCAAGTGAGTGTTTACGCAGTCACCACCAGACCAACTTTTATTCAATTCAAATTTAACCCTCTGTCATGGTGGGGTTCAAACACATGTCCTCAGAATTTTAAAAGCATGGATTGCCAAAATCACCTTTATACTACTGCCACCCATTTGGTTGTCTATTGTCCATTTGATTCTCTCTATTCCCCTTATCAACTCTGGGCCCAAAGTTTAATTCAATGAAATAAATGGGTTACAAGTAAATTAAAATCTCTCCTACTCCTTTCACAGCATTTGATTCATCTCCCCCCACCCCTAAATGTTCAATGTTTTGCTGATTCTTCCATTTGACTTTCTGTTCTGCATTTGCTGACACTGTTTCCTTACTAATTGATTCACATGCGATTCTAATTGATTCAAAAAATTAGATTCTAATTGATTCAGATTCTTTGTTTTGGACCTTCCACTTGTCCTCTTAGTGCCTCTGAGTTCCTTTTCGAATCACTGATCACTGATTTGCTGTTTCTGCTCCCAGTGTTCCTGTCGCCCATTCTCTGATTTGCTTCCTCTTTCAACACTTCTGTTCATCTCTTTTTTGCCTTTCTTTCTCCTTTGACTGCTTCTAACTCCTTTTTTTGCCTCTGACCTGAATCCTAGGACCCTGGTAAAGCCACTTCTAATTATTTTCTTCCACCTTTGATACTCCACCTGAACTCTCCAAGTCACCTCTTGTTTCTTCTAACTTTGTTGCTCTACCTCTGAATATTCCATTTGCTCTATTTTTCAGTGTATTTGTTTTTGTTCCTTTTTCTGTTTCTGATTCTTTTCAGTCTGTTTCTCCTCTTGTTCCTGTCAGTTCTGCTTTTGAATACACTATATTTCCTTTATATTCACTGATTCTTCTTTTGAGCCTTCGCATTATCCTTTCGCTGCTCTAATTCCTCAGTCTGACTCTTTGATTTCCCTAAAAGAGCTTTTCTTTTTTGTTTACATCTCTGACCCTCCTTGTGTGGTTGCTTGATTGCCGTTGGAGCTTCTAATTCTTCATGGTGATCTTTGGACTCTTTCGTATTCCTTTCAGTACCTCCATTGGCTTCTGTCTCTGATCTCTCTCATGATGCCTTAGGGACAGCCTGACTTTGAGCCTGCTCCACAAACTGAAGTATATCACTTCATCAGTCAGTTCTAGGCAATGAAGATTTCTGATCACTTCTTATCGTATTTGCTGAATGAATGCAGACAAAGAGCGACAGTTCAAAAAGCGGATGAGATTATGTGACCTAGATAGTAATCTTAGCACTCACATTACCATTGTTCTCAACGTATACCTGATAATCTGAATATTTTTTCAGATAAAGTAACACCAGCTAGAACTACAAATAAAATTTTAGTCATTTGGTAGGGCAGGGCTTAAGTTTTGCTGAAAAAAGACACAGTTTATTAAAGATTTTTATCTTGTACTCAAGGACAATTTGCAATAAATACCAAAGTAAAAGGAAAACAATATATTGAATATATATTTCAGCTTCCCTGAAAGCTGCCACCCAGGTGGATAGAGTTGTTAAGAAGGTGTATGGTGTGTTAGCTTTCATTAATAGAGGGATTGAGTTCAAGAGCCGTGAAGTTATGCTCCTGCTATACAAAAGCCTGTTTCGGCCACATCTGGAGTATTGTGTCCAGTTTTGGTCGCCTCATTACAGGAAAGATGTGGAAGCGTTGGAAAAGGTGCAGAGGAGATTTACCAGGATGTTGCCTGGAATGGAGGGAAGATCTTACGAGGAAAGGTTGAAAGAGCTAGGGCTTTTCTTTTTAGAACGACGAAGGATGAGAGGTGACTTGTTGGAGGTATACCAAATGATCAGAGGTATAGATAGAGTGGACAGCCAGAGACTTTTTCCTAGGGTGAAGGTAGCTATTATGAGGGGGCATAGTTTTAAAGTGAGTGGAGGTAGATATTGGGGAGACGTCAGAAGTAGGTTCTTTACTCAGAGAGTGGTAGGGGCGTGGAATGCATCGCCAGAGAAGGTAGTGGAGTTGGTCTCATTAGGGGCATTTAAGTGGCTATTAGACAGGCATATGGATGATAGTATAAGGTAGGGATGGAGGTTAGATAGAGCTTGGGTTTAGGGTAAAAGTTCGGCACAACATTGTGGACCAAAGGGCCTGTACTGTTCTATGTTCTATGTACTATGTTCTTTCTATAAATGAAATGTGACTACTGATTGGTTGACATGTTGACTCTGGTGGCAAATGATACTGCCTTGATCCATTACAAAGAACCTAACTGATGTAAAATTTAAACTTAATACTTAAAGAAAGCTTGAAATGTAATTGTCAGGCATCATTAACAGTACATTTGTATCTCTTATGGTCTTATGGTCTTATTCTCCATTGCATCACTTCTACTAATTATAGACCACTTGAAAATCAATCAGCAATGAGTTCAAGATGAAAAGCTTCAGCAAAATATATCTTCTTAAAACAATAAATAAGTCTTTTAAGCTGTCTATTATATAATTAAACATATTTAATGAGACATGAATTATATGTAGTTTCAAAATGTGATTGCCCTTTGTTACAAAATGCATAATTTCTAACAAACTTTTAATTTCTACTGGGGAAAATTGTGGAAACTTCAAGTTTGACAATCACCTTTATTAAACTCAAAGGCTGCTAGCAAATTCTGGAGTTCTTTTCCAAACATTTAAACGCCAAACATCCAAACATTCCATGTTAATTAACCTTAATGTGCATGACATAATGGCTCTTGACTTTGGTGTTATACTGACATTTTTTTTGAAACAAAGGAGTAAACTAGACATTGTGCAAAGTTTAAGACAGTAGGGGAGTACAATCAAATGCAAAAAAAATTAGTGGTGCTTCAGCAGTGAACCACACATTTGCAAATGACATTTAAATTAGATAAACCTAATGCTGGGACTGTTAGTGCAGTCAAAATAGAAAACATGTATCACTTTCAAGGAAAATTACTGAAAGAGAGTAAAGATATTTTGCTGTCATTTTACATAGATCACAATAGGTTCATGATCGAAGTAGGAAAATTATAATTAAATATTGTGTTCTAGTAACTGAATTTTGCAGTATAAATCAAAAGTGCCTCTTTTTTTCATTAATTTAGTCAGTTTTGGTGAGATAATGGTTTTGGAGAAGGCCAGAGGAGAGCTCCAAGATTTATTACTAATGTGAAGAAACCCAGTTCATCATTTTGGTCCATTGACCTTAATTTATTTAAAATGTAACAATTTGTCCTGGTGGAGGTCTAGAAAATCACTAACAGGGTACCATGCCTATTAATAGATTATTTCAGTTTATTAGCCAGTAGAAGTGAATTTGAGCTATGTAAGAGTAGGGATATACTGAGTATTAGATGATTTCTTTTTTCCAGTCCCAGTGAATGGTAATCCTCTGGAATGGATGGAAGATGTTTGTAGTGAGTGCCAATTGCCTGCATCATTTTAGGACAGAGCTAGACTCATTCTTGACTGGAGTAGGGATGCCTTCAGATTGAAAGTGACTGAAGTTGTCTTTCTGGATAATACATGTTCTAAGTGATCTCTTGGATTGATTTTATCAGTGGATAGTGGTAGAGAGGTGTAAGAGAGGAATTTTTCAAAGTATTTATTTGTTATTCAGTCTAATATTTTTCTTTTTTAGCTTCTCCACTCTACTGTGGAGAGAGGTTATGGCAGTGGTTAGGAGTGGAGAGGTGATGTTAGAAACATTGAGGACAGTGGTCAGGTCAGATTGTCACTGCTGTTTCCTTGACATCATGAAAGTGGGGCTGGCTTGATTTAAAAAGTTGGTTTCACCCTGTCTATTGATTTTCTCATTTTCTCATGTAGTTCATGACTTTTCCAGACTACAGTTTCTTCTTTATCAATCAGACAGGCTCACTCAAGTCAAGCTCCAACTGATCCAAGCCAGAGTCAGGCTTCAGGCCGGAATCTCCCCAGTGTTGAGAATGCAACCACCAGCAACCAGGAAAATTTCAAGGAAAAGTTCAAGAGGATGGTGAGATTCCAGTGCCGGGAAAATACTGGCCGCACTTCCAAAACCATTGAATGGCTCCTTCCACAGCCTTTCATCTCTGAGAAGCAGTTCCAATTCTGCGGACACATTCTAAACATCGCACGACACTTTGGTGACAATTTGGGATTCTCTGCCACTGTGTGGGAAGCTGTAAGTCACTTGGCCTTGGATGCCAATCCCATTGTTTAGGCAGGAAGAAATGATCCTTCTATGACTGTTATGTACTTGTTATATTCAAATGTCTGTAGTAGATTGCAATGTATTTCAACTAGCTCACCCCTCTCCACATTGACCACATTGAAAATAAACAGGAACAGGAGAAGACCATTCAGCCACTCAATTATTTTCCTCTGTTCTATTAGATTGTAGCTGCTCCAATTCCTTAATTTCAATTACACCACCTTTCTGTATATCTCTTGATATACTGCCTTAATAAGATTCAATGAGTTCAGAATTGAGAAGTTTAATTGACCCTATACTTATTTGCAAAAAATATTTTGTGATTTCCTCCATAAATGGCCAAGCCAATGTTAAGATTAACTCCCCTGCTTTGTTAATATTCTGAATTAGTCACTGATTTAACAATGGGAGGCTTGACTGTTTTTCTTTTCATCAACCAAGTGGTGCTTAGAAGAAATATAAAATCCCTGGTGCAACCAGGCCTGTAATAATGCAGTTTGGTATAGACCAAAGATTTGAACCCAAAGATCTTGTGTCACTAAATGGATCTCCACTTGAAGCATCATCTCTCTACCTGGAGGAACTATTCTGAAACAAACAATCTTAACTTGCTGGAAGAGATGTGACAGTGAGTTAAACATGAGTCTTAGCTTACTCTGCCTAAACATCAGGAAGACTAAACTCTTCATCAATTTGATCCATTATCAATGCTATTTGTGTCTTACTGAATTCAGAATACAGGCACAGTCAAATCAAGTTCTCCTCAGAGGACAGTCCTGCCATTTTATTACTTTTCTATTCTAAACAATCTGTATTGTTATACACAGGCCAATGTACACAATCACATGCACCTATTCTTTGAGCTCGAAAGTCATACATTAGCTTCTGGACACTGGCCCAGGCTGAACCAGATGATACACCATGTTGACAAGCTGAGCTTTGCTTACCTCCATCAGAAAGATGACTTCATCACACCAGGTAGAACATCACTCATTTTCCTTCCTATCTTCATGCACACCTTTGTCACTGTCAAGTCGGTTTGTTTCTGACTTTTCCTCCCAATAAAGAGCAGCTCAGCCACAACTGTGCTGCTTATTCCGTAACTTAGTCATTCATCCTTCCTGTCCACACTCATCAACTTTCATTAGACGGTCAGGAGCTCTTGCACACTCCAACACCCAACACCATCACTATAGCCTCCCAGTTCTTAAATCTTACAGCCTTCCACATGCACTCTAAAATGAAAATTAGCTCAGCGGTTTCCCTAACCTCCGAACACAGGCCTCCTCTTCATTGTGCTCGCTCCTGTCCTTTAACCCAGCAATGCTAATGGTGCTTTTAATCGACTTGATCATATGTTGCTCTGAATCCACTGGGAAATGCATATGTTTGATTTTTATTATTTCAAAAATATACTTTATTCATAAAACTCTCTTTGTATATATACGTAGTCACAAATGTAATTCAGTTCTGTGCAGTTGCCTATCAAGTAAGTAAACAAAACATTGGACTTTGACTCTATCCAAAAAAACCAAAGACCTCTCTTACATATGGAATACTAATTTTTACATATTTTTGAGACACTTGGAGGGTCAGATAACTGAATCGACCCCCATTTACCTTCAGCAGGAAGACCTCAGGCAGTGGTCTTTCCCCACTGTACCTTGGCAGCAGCTGCCCCAAGTGTCCCTCAGCACGTAGTCCTGGACCTTGGAATGTGCCAGTCTGCAATACTCAGTCGGGGTCAACTCCTTGTTCTGGAAGACCAACAAGTTTCGGGCAGACCAAAGCGCGTCTTTCACCGAATTGATGGTCCTCCAGGTGCAACTGATGTTTGCCTCGGTGTGCGTCATGGGGAACAGACCATAGAGCACAGAGGGCCGCGTCACAGAGCTGCTCGAAATGCATGTGTTTGATAAGTAAGCAAAACTCCCATTCCCAGCTTCCTTAATCTCTACAGGGAATTGTTTGTATCCACATCTCCAACACTCTCCTCCCCAATACCCACTAATAGCTACAATAACAGTTTTCATCATTTTCTCAATTAATTTATTCTAATGTGACAGTCTGATTTTTCTTTCCAGGCCCTGGTTCTTTGTCAGTACTTTGAACAAGAGAAGATAAGTTTTACTGGGAGGAAGGTGCTTGAACTAGGGTCTGGAACTGGAATTGTGGGGATTCTAGCTGTTCTGTTGGGTGAGTTAAAGTGTGATTGCAGACTTAGATTATCAATGTGAAAGATAATGTGCAATGGTGAAGAAGATGTATATTGCATATAACGCACACGTGCACACGTACATGCACACAGACACATGTATATGGCACACACACACACATATATATACATACACATATATACATGCACAGACATACATACACACACATGCACACGTACACACGTATACACACACATATATACATACACACACATACATCATGGCTGATTCTCTATTTAATGCACCGTACTCCCATTTGCTCCCATAGCATTTGCCACCTGTAAAATCTAAAAATGTACCTATCTATTTCTTGAATATATTCAGTGACTTTCTGGTAGACATTTCTACAGGTTTCACGATCCTTTGAGTGGGGAAAAAAAACTTCAGTCTCAGTCCTAAATAGTCTGCTCTGCATCTTGAGACTGTATCCATTGGCTCTAGATTGCCCCACCAGGGAAAACACCCTTCCTGTATCTAGTCTGTTCACCCCTGTTACACTTTTATACGTTTCAATCAGATCCTTCCAAACTCTAGTAAATGCAGACACCATCAAACAAAACTCTCCTCAGAGGACAACCTTGCTATTAATATGATATTACCTTTCTATCTCAAATATTCTGCAATTCCATCTCAAACAATCTGCAATTTTACGCACAGGCCAAGAAATACAATCGCATGTTCCCATTCTTTGTGCCCTAAAATGGCACATCAGCATCCAGTACCATGGACAAGCCATACAGCAAATTAAGTGTTGGAAGCATTGCGCCCAAATTTTGGATTGGGTTCTTCCACAGGCATTCAGGGTCCCCAGCAGAACTATGCAAAGCCTAAATAAGCTGTTAGTAGGGTATAGCTCTTCTGTGATACAAAATACTGAATACCAGAGAACACATTTGAGTGCTGAGTACCTCAAGGATATTTGTTGGAATAGATTCCTTCCTGGTTAATTTTACCCTGTGTTTTTGAAGA